TAGCCGGCTCTCTATTCCTGGAAGAGCATTGGTATCTTTTGATCAAATTCTACCCCACTCTCCAGTAACGTGCTTCCTATGAATTGTGGGCTAATTGTGCCATGTGGGTTTATGTGATTGCATGTGTGTCTGTGTGAGTGAGTATGTGTGTGTGTGTATGTGTGTGTGTGTTTGTGTGTGTGTGTGCTTGCCTGTGTGTCCGGGTGGGCAGAGACCTTTCTATCCTTGATTGATTGTTGTCATCTTGGTGGATTATTGAGTTAGCAGCGAACGTGATAGGCTTACTACAGCATCTCAAAGGAAAGAATGCACACACGCACACACACGCGCACACACGCACACGCGCGCGTGCACACACACACACACATACGCACACGTCCCTCATCCCTATACATTTCTTTAATGCAACGGCTGATGGAAATATGTCAAGGAAAGGGTCCGTGGTCATGTGTAATGAATACATTAAGGGATCTAAAGTATGTGTGTTGGATGGATGAGGGTTCTATTGGCCTGTACTGGAGCAGCCGACACAGTGTGTGTTTCTGTGAATGTTTGAATAATAGTAAGCAAATAGCAGAGCAAAGATTTTAAACCTGTCGCAATAAACCTCAAAATGGTCACTATTTAAATAGAAGCGGTCACAAATCCAATTTGCAGTCATGCTTAAGATATTTGCATTTAAACTAAATATCTTAATACCATGTTATTTTGCTTATTAGATATCTCACAAAATGTCTTTTCATTATTCCAATGTAAAAATTATACCAACTACACCCAGATAAGACCCGGAGGCACTTTGCATTTATACAGCCAAAAAGAATAAAAGCTGTGTAACAGATTTTGCAGAGCCGTTGGATCTCTTTTTTTCTCCACCAGGATTACCAGAGGACATTCCTAGTACCAACCTCCACTATCTATCTGTATCAACACCAGAAGATAAACGCTATCTGCTCTCTGCGATCGTGTGGAGGGAGCCACAATTTAACAGACCTTTACTTGACAAATGGATGTGAGAGACCAAATATACAACATGATGCGATGTGTTATTTTTAGCTAGGTGTTGTGCACTGTTTTTAATTGTCATAAGCAGACTGTGGGTAAACGCATGAGGTATGAGGCCTCAGGATCCTACTGTTCTCACCTTTTTCTGTCTCACTTTATCTTAACTATTAGAACTTGTTGTAACAGCTGTTGTCACTCGGATTTACACATCCATCACATCTATTAGAAAAAATCATGTATTTATTAAATGCAGCATCATACTAATACTGGGAAGTTCCTCTCTTTGCTCTTAGAGCAGCCTCAGTTCTTTGTGGCATGGATTCAACAAGATGTTGGAAAACATTCTTTTGAGATTCTGCTCCATGTTGACATGATCACATCTTTCCTGAAGATTTGTCTGCTGCACATTCATGCTACCAATCTCCCGTTCTACCACATCCCTAAGGTGTTCTACTGGAATTAGATCTGGCGACTGGTGAGGCCACTGAAGTACACTGAACTTATTTTCATGTTCATGAAACCAGTTTGAGACGACTTTTGCTTTGTGACGACCTAGATCAGGAACAATACTCAGGTAGGCTGTGGCATCAAAACCATGATTGATTGATATTAAGCGACCCAAAGTGTGCCAAGAAAACACAGATTCATGTTGTTGATTCCAAATTCTGACTCTACCATCTGCTGCCTCAGCAGAAATCCAGATTCATCAGACCAGGCTACGTTTTTGGTGAGCCTGTGCACACTGAAGCCTCAGATCTCTGTTCTTGGCTGACAGGAGTGAAACCCAATGTTGTCCTTGGCTGTTGAAGCTCATCTGCGTCAAGATTCGACGTGTTGTTCATTCTGAGATGCTTTTCTGCTCGCCCACGGTTTTAAAGCGTGGTTATCTGAGTTACCGTAGTCTTTTTGTCAGCTACAGCCATTCTCCTCTGACCTCTCTCATCAACAATGTGTCTCCATCTGCAGAATTACTGCTCACTGGATGTCTTTTGTTTTTGGCACCATTCTTAGTAAAAACTCTGCAGACTGTTGTGTGTGAAAATCTCAGGAGATCAGCAGTTTCAGAAACGCTCACACCAGCCCGTCTGGCACCAACAGTCATGTCACAGTCAAAGTCACTGAGGTCACATTTATTCTCTATTCTGAAGTTTGATGTCAATATGAATTGAAGCTCCTGACCTTTACCTACACGATTTTATGCATTGAACTGCTTTCACATGATTGGCTGATCTGGTAATTGCATGAATAAGCAAGTGTGCTGAGTGTACAGTACATAAAACAATAAATAAAACCTTGGCAAACACAGCATTAAAATACCAAGAGGGTAGAATTATATACAAACCGTCAGAGAGTCAGATGTAAAGGATTTTCAAAATCTCATAGTTATAAGAGAAGTCTGCCCCTTCCATACTACTTAGTCTTAACTTTTGTTAATGCTGTAGTGTCTGATGACCTAAGGCAGCGGCTGGCAGTATGGAGGGAGAGACAGTCAGCCAAGTATGGAGGTGCTAAGCCATTCTGAGCCTTATACACCAGTAATGTAATTTTAAAATCACTCCTAAAAGAGACAGGGAGCCAATGTAAAGATACTAAAATTGGGACGTGCTCTCTTTTGCTCAAACAACAAAATTAAAGTTAAAGCTAATTTTCTTCTCTTTTTTTGGTTATCCAGTTAAAAGAACAGTGCAATAGTCCACATGAGAAAACACTAGCGTATTAATTAATTACATTGGGATGGGTAAGGTGTTGTCTTAGTTTAATGTCCACCTCTAAGCAGCTGAAGAAATACTCATTAATATTATTGATCAGGTGTGAAATTACCTTTTATGTATGCATTTTGTAACTAATTGGAAAAGTGATTTAAGTCGGATGTTTTGTCCAGGCGTGCATCTAAAAAGTGACAGTTTATCCACAAGTGTTGTCAGGGTCGGTCCTGTGACTCCCCCTCCACCACCGCCACCAATTTAACTGCAGCCAAGCTGTGCGTCATTTTGCTGACATCCTCCTGCATGAGTTTTATTGAGCTCTCGAACCATGAGCCCGAGCCGAACCAGAAGATGTACGACTCTTTTGACTTTATTCATTTCCTTCAGCCCCTTCTCTATCCAGGGGATAGACAGAGGTTATTAAGAGAGAGGGAGCTCAGTCATTCTAAATTAGCATATGTCGTTTGTGATTTTCTCTGCATTTTCTCTCATCTTTCGATTCATTTTTTTTTTTTTCGCAATCTTTTTTTTCATTTTATTCTCCCCATCCATCTCAGTTTTATTTTGCGGCCATTACTCAATCTCATTTCCCCCCCTCCTCTTTGTGCTAGAGTGAAGGGCTTTCTTTTCAGATTGCTTAGTTATTCCTTGACATTGGTCAGGTAATGCTTGGTGCAGGTCGCACTTCACTCACCTCGCCCCGTGTCGCTATACACCCTGTCTGTGGAGATTTGCCCTCAATGCGAAGGAGTGTTCATTTTTAATTATCACTCAGCATTTGATCATCTCCCTCCCCTGCCTGTCACAATGTCTCATCGGGTGTCTGGTAACATTTCCATTACATTTGGAAATGTGTGTCGAGCATGTGGTGTGTATGTGTGTGTGTGTGTGTGTGTGTGTGTGTGTGTGTGTGTGTGATTGCGTGTGTTTGCGTGAATGTGCTCACTGGTGCGTTCCTATCATTGCAGCAGAGACGAGATTCCTCCCTCCCTCATCCATCTTCAAGCGCTTGGCTGGAAATGACATGTCGACACAACAAAACACATCGTTGCTTGAGACACAGACACACACACACACATACACACACACACACACACACACACACACACACACACCCTTATACACCTATCTCTGTGGGGACCCCTCATTGACATAATGCGTTCCCTAGCCCTTTACCCAAACCGTAACCATCACAACTGAATGCCTAACCCCAACTCTAAATCTTCTCTAACCTTCTCTAACCTTGTCTTTACCCTCAATTATCCATTTAAACTTGAGGGGATTTTCCAGCATTTTGGTCCCCACAAGTATAGGGGTCTCCCAGTTTACAGACCCCATTAACATAGTAAAACAAGCCCCCCTCCCCACACACACACACACACACACACACACACACACACACACTAGGTATGGAATGGAATTGGATTGGCAATGGAATTTTAATTAAATGGTTCACACCTCATCCCTGTACCCCCCCCCCCCCCCAAATGGCATGCTAATTGAGTTGATGCAAATAGGGGCACACAGTCTTAAAGGTGTAAATTACTGATTTTTTTTTTTTTGGTTTAGTTTCTTTTTTTTTCTTTCTTTTGCTGTTGTTTTTCTGTTGCACAAAATGTTGCTTCCAAAGATCTCAGGTGGAGTGAAAGGGGAAATCTTTATCTTAAAAGAACTGTCCAGGAAACCTCTATTGATGTAGGAGCAGAAGGGAGCGAGCCTGTATTGGGACAACAGTGGAATTTCTCTTTTCATTGTACAGGGTTTAACTTTGCTTGTACAAGTGCACGTATGCACGTTTGCGAGCACATATTTTAATAAGCGCCTAAGCTCACTGCAGTGGTATTATTAAGGAAGGCTCTCACCTCCCGTAAAGTTCCCAGAGCATTCTCATTCCTTGAGGCCGTTGGCAGGACGTTTGGAAATAGTGAGCTCCTCTTTAGCTCAGCGGGGGATGAATCGATAAATCTGTCACTGTTTGTTTTATAAAACTTTTAGTCTTCACCTCTGGGCTCTCCCATCGTCGGAGGCTAAACACTCAAGCTGTTCATGTCGACCCACTCATCGTAGGATTGTTGGCCAGTTGCTGTGAGGTGAACGGATATTGCCTTCAATAAACCATTATCAGCACATAGCCATGTTGCCAGTGTGTGTATGTAAGCTGCACTATTTCACTGTCTGTTTCTATTCCTCGCAGTTCGCTGTCACAGCAGGAGAAGCGTTTTTTCATCCAGAACACGTGAACCCGATAACATTTGTCTTTCTTTTTTTCTCTCTCTCTTTCTCACCCTTCAGGTGTTGGCTTTAGAAAGACAGGTCTTTGACTTCCTGGGTTACCAGTGGGCTCCCATCCTTGCCAACTTCTTCCACATCATCATCGTCATCCTCGGCCTCTTTGGCACCATCCAGTACCGGCCGCGCTACATTGTGGTGGTGAGTACACGCAACTGAAGACGAGTAGTTCATGTGAAACCAGGTACAGTCTGTCCCATAATCCTATTCCTCACTGTTTTTGTTAAGCGGTGTCACATCACTTTGCATTAGTCCTCTGTCTGTGCATGTACTGTAGATTGGGCATGTTGTTGCCTTTCCACTCTAATTGCAAAGTGCAGCGCAATCTCTTGTGCGTTTTGCGACACCCTTAAATCACTCTAATCCCATGGTAATTAGGACTAATTAAAAGGGGGGTGGGGTATTTGGGGGACGGGGGGCTAAGGAGCTCATCAGATTTATACTCGGCTTTGAGTTTCTGGACAGAGAAGGTCATTCTTTGAAACACGGTGCAAAGCATGTGCTGCCCTTTGCTTCACTGCTTTTGTTAGGAAACGCCGCCATGAAGCTTCATAAATGCGCTTTAACGCACTTCAGTTTTTATTTGACACCATAACGTGCATCTGAGGCATTAAAAGCCTATTTCTAGCAGCATTAGTGGAAGCGCAGATGGCGATGTTAATGACAGGAAAAGATTGGGGGAGCGAGAAAGGGATAGACAGGAAAAGAGAGTGAATAAAGAGAGACAGGGGAGATGGAGAAGAATAAATGGGAGCCACACAGGATAAGATGAAAAAACAGAGGAAGCAGGAATTTAACAGGGGGGTGGGGGGGCAGAAAGTAGAGCTATTGTGTCATATCAAGTGGAAAATGGGAGAGAGCAAGCTCAGGGGTTTCGTGATTCAACATGTATGTTTTTACGAAGGTGGCCTCCGTTCTTCCTCTGACACACCTCTGACATTTTAAACACACAATTCATCACGAGTCAGAGGATTTCACAACCTTCACACTGATGACTCTTTCTCTATCAGTGAATATCACTCTGTACCACTCTGTCTGTCAACAGTTGGCTGTCTGACTGTACAATTTTGCAAATGGTTGAGTCGTGAACTTCTTTCAGCCTCAGCCGTTTACAAACCTGCAGCTCCCTTAGGACCCAAATAGACTTGCTGAACTTACTGCCACCTTTAAAAACACAAATGTGTGTGTGTGTATGTGTGGTGTTTGTATGTGTATAGAGTATGTGGGTGTGTATTAATTCAGAATACGTGTGTGGGTGTGTGTGCGTGGGAGGACACTGACCACTGGCTTTAGGAGCTCATTCATTCAACCTGCCATATTCTCAGTAGTTGTCATATCCTGTTGTGTTCAGTTCATCTCGTTTCCATGGAGCTGATCTGTCTGTGTCTTTGCCCTCCAGTATACAGTATGGGCCGCTCTGTGGGTCGCCTGGAATGTCTTCATCATCTGTTTCTACCTGGACGTAGGAGGCCTGTCCAAGGTGAGACTTTTAAAATGTCAGTCTGCTTTTTTCTCAGAATCTTTCATCGTGCATCAGTCAGCCAGGTCGGGTGGTTTTGTCTGAACTGTGATAAATGTTCTCTCCTCCCTAAGGTCACAGTCGCAGGTCATAGTTGCAGGCTGGTAGAGGAATGAAGCCTGATTTATATTCCTGTGTCCAAGCACTGTGCCACCTACACTGCAGGTTTCTATGGTGCTGTGTTGAGAACCGAGTCATAAATGATGTATAATTCTACCACAGAAAATACTTGTTTCTGGTTAGCCTCCATCTGTCCGTTGAAGTCATATAACACAGTTCAAACATAGTTCCTGTCAACAGTTTAACCACTGTCCTAAATCTATGTACATGATCTATTAAACAGCAGGTCTACAGACATTATTTTCTACAGTTGGTACTTGCTGACCAACTGTTGTCAGTGGTGGAACTGCTCACCAGGTTTAAAACTGACCACAAACCAACTTTAAAAAATGGTTGATGATTTGAACACATTTTTTGCCCTTGGTATTGAATAATACGCACAGAGATGACCTGATAAAGAACACCTGACTCTATTTTCGTTAATGATAGAGAGAACGCCACCTCCACCTGTTCAAGAAGAGCTGTTTTCCCCTGTCTGAATCCGGTTGTGTTGATATGGCAACGTGGAGTTAGGTTGAAGAAGCCTGAGGGTCGGGTAATGCTAGAAAAGTAATTAGTTTGTATGACATGAAGAGTTAAAAGCCAGCAACATATAGAGGGGCGAGATACGACAACCATTTAAATACGTGGATAACAATGCACATTTTCAGACGGTCTCTCCTGAAAGACATTCATAGTACTGCACCCACAAAAAGTCATAGAAATAATTGTGTGGATATAGAAAATAGAGCTTGAGACAGAAGTTTAAAATCTGCTTACCACTGCACAAAAGGCCAGTCGCTGTGCAAAGACACACACACACACACGCCACTCTGGTCTTCTGACCTTGTGCCATTTTTTCTTCGACCATGCAGAGCTGCTGCTCCCGACTGTTGATGTAAAATATAAAAGCATAATTGAGTATTCTTGAGCCTTGCTAATGCTGAACATATATTTTAACTATAATTGATGCACTGCCAACAAGAGCTTTCAGCCTATGACAAGCCTGAAAGCCCCGGTGTGAAGTACAGCCCAAGTAAACACAGTTACTTGTGGTATATAATGAATGTGTGACACAGCTATCTAGTATGAATCCTACACCGAGCTATAAATTGCTCTCTAAGTTGCAGGAATCTGCACCACACACACCAGCAACTGCAACACCTCAACAGAGACATATCATTTTGCCTTGAGGAATGTTTGTGTCCCTTTATATTGTGTGTGCGGTGCATTTCTGCTGACCTGGGGGAGGGGGGGCACTTACCTCTCTGTTGAGTTTCAAGCAGAAGATTAGAACTTAATAGGTAAATAATCAGGGAAAAAAATCCCCCTCCCAAACCACCACACTCACACATACACACTTCTAAATCTTTTGGGCCCTCCTGTGGTTCCTAAGTGCAGATTAGATGTGTATTTATCCAGACAAAGAGAAGTGTTTGGGTTTTGTCACCTCTAAACCTGTAAATGTATCCACCCTCCCCCATCCTGTCAACTTGTCTTCTCTCAGCTTTTTTTTCACTCTGCTCACTCCTCCTTTGATGTTATTTAATTTATTCCACATATTTTGCAAGTTCCATATCATGCCCTTTTAATTTCAGCCCTCTCCTCTCCTCTCCTCTCCTCTCCTCTCCTCTCCTCTCCTCTCCTCTGCCTGCCTGACCATTGAGAAAAATGAATTCATGTAGGCAACGGTCATCTGACACCACCTCAGACAAAATGAATTTCAGAAACACCTTCCCAAGCTCTGGTGACTTTGTCATTGTGTGATAGACCTTGGGTCCATCAAGGTGTGTGCTGTCTCTTTTTCACTGGTGTTTGGATGTGTTTATGTGTTTGGATTGGTTTGTTTGTTGTGTGGTGGTGTGTTGTGTTGTGTGTGTGTGTTGTGGTGTTGTGGTGTGTGTGTGCGTGCGTGCGTGCGTGCGTGCGTGCGTGCGTGCGTGCGTGCCTCCGTCCGTGTGCGCTACTGCATGGTTCCTCCTAGAATAATGAGGCTTGTAGGGGCCAGCTGCTTGGGGCTGAGACTGGGCATTAACCCGACAGATGGAGCCAGCCTGGGCTCCCAGCTCTGCATATGGTGGCCAGGAGGAGAGCTGGCTAATGGAGTGCACACACACACACCTCATGCACACATGCATGACCAAACTTGACACCCACCTCTCTGGGAGGACCCCAACGCATTTGATCATAAACCAGAGTCAGCTAATTCTGTCTGCCTTTCTTTGACTGATGTTGACAGGACAGTAGAGAGGATGTGTTTGTATTGGTGTATTTGTGTGTGTGTATGTGGGTGACAAGGCCCTAGAAATGAGGGGGCAGGTTGTCAGAGTCATATGCCACATGCTCTGTCACCTCCTATTGATCCCTTATCCCCTCCCCCACCGTGCAAGACAGACAGACCCCTGCTACTCTACACACACCTCTGTTTTAAACAGTGCCAAGTCATTCACTGCCTCTCCTTTTATTCATTCACTCTCACACTCTGCACACAGTGGCTGCAGACACTGAGACTTTGTCTTCTCCAAGCTGTCTGAATTTGAAATGGCTTCTTTCCCTGGCCATTTAAAAACAAGAAAAAATCACCACATTCATTACGCTCCAGTTCTAACACGTCTCATTTAAAATCTTTTTTTTCAATCATCTCTTATTGGCATTAGCAAAGAACAATGTACAGCACATTGTACATGGCAGATAGTCACTTATCTAAATAGGAAATATGTCATCTATTTGGCAGGTGTATGAAGGAGCTGTTTTTGTTATTGATACGTAGCTTTGTAAACCGCATTAACAGCTGTTTACATGCAGTGTAGAAGAAACGTTCAGCATCAGTCTTCATTTCATTATTCACCAAGAGTTGCCTCCAGTGGTGGAAAGCAACAGCAATGTTTACTCTTGTCTCTATCACGTCTTTTCTTCTACTGCAGTTAGCACACTAACAAGCTAGCTCCTGCATGTCAGCCCTGCCCTGAAGACGCAGCGCTGCTTAGAGAACGTATTATAACCTCTTGTGCTGTAAATTCAACGATGGCCGAAGCTCTTGTTAAGCGAACATCTGCACCACCCGCTCCCAACAAGAAACCACATTCAGCGGCACAGAAAACTTACAAATTGCCACTTTAAACTCTAAACACTCTCATTGTCAGTCTGTTGATTTTTAGCCCTGTGTTTTAGCCCTGTGTTTTTGGCTCAGTGGATTGCTATGTTAGGCTGTCAGTGGGTCAGTCCACCTCTTTGGTCCAGACGGAAATAATTTCAACAACTAGTGGATGGATTAATAAGAAATTTTTACAAAAGTTTAGAGATTAACACGTCTTGTTGAGTTATCAGGTAGAATTTATGAGCCGTGATCAAATCACAGTTTCATACTTGATAAATTGTTTGACAGCAGACACAGAAAAGTAGGTCTGTGAGAAGAAGATTTTGTTGTTGACTTGGAGCCGAAGGAGAATAAGAAATTTAGCCGTCTTTACATGGTTTTGGAGTTTTCAAAAACAACTTGAAAGTGATAACATCAACAAATGTAAGTAAGTTTTCAGATTCATCCACCTCTCTCCCCGTCTCCCTCTCCCCTCGTGCAGATGGACTACCAACTTTGTTTTACAGACGATAGCGGACCACCATGAGCACAGTCTCTCCAGCTCCCCAATCAATAGGCAACCAGCGTGCATGTGCGCCTTTTATGAAATCTAAGTAAATATTATATGGACTCAACAGGGTCAGAAGAGTTTACAACATCCAGTTAGCCACTCAGGTTTGCTCCCCAGTGTGATCACTCAAACATAAACTCTTTTCTCTGTATTTCAGAAACAATAAATCATAGAAGTGAGATTCTCATCATTTGATGTTTAGCTTTATCAAATGCCTCTCTAGTGATTCCACTAACAGGATTGCCTCCGAAATATGTATTGACTTTTGTTAAAGAAAATAGTCTGAGCACTATCAGAAGACTAACCTTGATTCTATGATATGGAGGGATTGATTTGCGCTTTGAGGTGCATGGGAGCATAACAATAACACTCCTGACAGTAAGTTGCCAAAAGCCTCTTCAGTATTGACTGCTGATGTGCTGCAGTCAGGAGGGTAGCTACAGCTTGGATAGAGAGGGTTTCCCTAGCTCGCAGGCTCAATCAATGGCATCTGTCAAGTCATTAGTCTTCACAATCGTACATATTGACCTTCAGCCGCCCTTGTTTTTGTGACTCTGTGTGAGAGAACGACAGAATGACAGAGAAGGAGAGAGACGGATTATATTCTGTAGCATTATTTTAATATTGTTCATGCATTTTTCCCCTGACTGCACAGATCTGTTGCTGAACTTGTTGCTACTAGTGTTATCATCTATGTGTTGTTGATGTGTCCATGTATGTGTGAGTAGGGGTTGATAGGAATCAGAGATGTTTCCTGACAGCGCTTGGCTCTGTTAATAATGCATGTCTTGTCACTGTTGGGCAGATGCGAGGTTAGATTGCTGTATTGGGGTATTGATTGGTGTGAGCATCTGTATATCTGTATGTGTGGGCTCATATGGCTGTGTGCAAATTGAACATCGCCATTGCCAGAGTGCAACATAACAAGAGTTATGTATAAAATACTGGCTATAAAAGTAGTGGTACTTTTTTTTTTTTTTTTTTTTAAATATAGCAGCAACATTTCTCCCCTGGAACAATGTTACTCTGGTTAAACCATAAAACACAGTGTCAACAGTTTTCCTGCGGATTATTTATTTGCCAGAAAGTAGTTCCAAAGAAAACTGTTGACTGTGAGGTCTGTGGATTATCCTGAGGAACAGATACATTGTTTCTGGTAAGACACATTGCTGTTTTGAATTAAATGTAATTTTTTAATCCTTTGAGCAGCACAAACAGAATTTCATTCACCTAGGTGGAATTGCCATGGCAGCAGAAATATTAAACAAGGGTTTCTCAAAACATCTGCAAATAACATAAAGGCCAAAACTATCACAAGGATAGATAGAGCTTGTAGTAAGTTTTTAGCCATGCTAATGGCATGGCTTTAGGGGTGGCAAAGTTTGGCCCACCACTTTGATCCAGACTGAAAGATCTCACCAACTATTGGATAACTTGCCATGAAATTTCATTTAGACATTCATGGTCCCCAGAGGATGAATCCTAATGACTTTTGGTGGTTTTTAGTTAAATGTCTTGACAAATATTGGGTATGATACCATGGAATTTGTCCCAGACATTCATATCCCCCTCAGATAACTTGTAATCACTTTGGTGATCCCTTAATTCTTACTGTAGTGCTTCCATCAGGTAAAAATTTCAATTTGTCCAAAACTTTTGCTTATGACCAAATATCTGTAAAACTAATGGCATTCCCATCAGCCGCAAACATTATACCTACTTACCACTGTCATTGTTAGCAGGCTGACATTAGCATTTAGCTCACCGTACCTCACTGAGCCGCTAGCAAGACTGTAGACTCTCTGGCCCTGTTCAGATCTGGCTTTAACATCTGTCTCAGGTGACTTAATCACAGGCGGACAGCTCTAAGTTCAGGTGTGAATGCACCCAAGACATATTGAGGATGCATTTGAGATCTGATCGGTGATTCTCTCAACCATTCCTTGCCCCACTCTCTCTCTCTTTCTCTTTGTCACACACACAAACACGTTGAGAACGGACCCGTCTGTCATAGTCAGACTGACTAAAAATAACAGCAACATCGCATTCATGTTTATTTGCATAAAGAGCAGGGAAGGACTGGAGACACGACAAGGTCACTGACATTCTAAAGCCAGGTATGAACTGACGTGCTTAGACCTGACCACTTGTCAGATCCATGGCCTGAACAGAGCCTTAGTCTTGTTTATAATGCATGAACCAACCCTTTGAACAAAAGGAAACAGCCGTTTAAAAGATATAGCCTCTACCATAACTTTCCAGAGATGAGCTCCCTGCTTCTTGAACAACCTGACTTGTGGTGCAACCTTGGTTTCCTCATCAAAAATAAATGAATGTACATCATAAGTAATGAAAAGAGTTCATACAACGAAGTTAATGTTTTATTTCTCCTTCCAGGACAGTGACCTGCTGACATTTAACATCTCAGCCCATCACTCGTGGTGGAGCGAACACGGGCCGGGCTGTGTGAGGAGAGAGATGCCGCAGGCTCCGGGGGTCCGCACCACAGAGAGCCACTCCTACATCACTGTCATGGGCTGCCTCATGGAGTACCAGTACATCGAGGTGGTGCATAGCGGCACACAGATTCTTGTTGCTGTGAGTACAAGTTAGCAGAGCACATGTGACTTTAGCACTGACATGTTCACATGCTGATACGTGCATGTGCAAACATGTGGCAGGAACTCATCATATTACATGCTTAACACCAGCAGCAACCTCACTCACCGTGGGATTCACGTACGTGAAAGGTGACCGTGATAGAAAGGAAGGTGGTGTTTTTGTTTCCCTTCACGCACTTTTCTCAATGTACTTCCACAGTGGTCTGTTATTTTGTCTATCACAGACCCCCTTCCTCTGCCCCGGTCGCTGAATGAAAAATTGATCTGTTGTTTTGTCTGGCTGAGGCTCAGACCTGCCAGCTGCTAACAGGTTACTCAAACACTGGAAGGACTGTTATTGTCCTCTTTAAACGGCTCGGTATGAATACACCAGAAACTCACATCCTGCCAGCATTCACATTTGCACACACTCATGTATGACTGACTAACCTCACTGGACGGGGGCCAGGGCACTCGAAGTTGCCAGCACAGCAGGCCCTTGGCTTCAGACATACACATTACACACTTAAACTCCCAGTAACATTCACTTACACACCCTTTGTCTCCATTGTGAAGCACATATACTCACCCACACCCAGTCATTGTTATTTTAATACATGTGGAGTGGATTTAATGGTGGCAGAAGTTGACCAAGTTTTCATTCTTACCATTTAATCTTGGACTAATTTGCACCTGGGAAAGCACTGTGAGCACAGTTGACTACATGGCAGATTAGAAAACTGGCAGTGGGAGCCAGTGTTGAGAAGCACCGGATTGTACCATTCATCCCATCACCCCCACAGAGAAAGGTAATAAAATGGCTGAACTCACTTTACAGCCCCAACTCTCGAACTCACCCTTAGCCCCTGCACTATAGGCAGTGAATTGGTTTATTCCTCGCCTCACTTGGGCTTTTACTCCTCCATATGAAATGGTAACACCCTTATGCCTGCATTTTTATATGGTATTGTCCAACCAAGCATTCAACGGCATCTTTGTGGGAACAGCTCCCTAGAGGAGCAGGGAAATTGGTACTGAAATCCCAGTGTCACAAATGGCATCATTTTCCTTGTATCCTCACTTCCTCTCAGGCTAAAAGCAGAGCACTGCTTAAGAAAATAGACTCCTCTGAGATGTCCAATCTTGTTTTGGTTTGTCCTTTTCCCTCCCTGGTTGAGGAGAGGGCCAGACAGAATGAGACTTGGAAGGAATGAATGAAAAGAAAAGGAGGAAAGTGGGGGTGTCCCTTTGTCTTTGTTAGAGGGGTTTCAAGGTTGCAGTGAGAGGCCATTAAATATTTAGTTTGGGCTCCAAGGAGCATGTTTCATTAAGATGAAAAATGTGGATCTATTGGGCAGTAATGTAGGCATCACTGTCATCTATCTGCTCAGATTCGTCACAAGCGAGAAGGACGCCGTTCAGTGAAGAAGTGAAGCTTCAGATTTGGGAAAGTCAGCCCTGTGTTGTTGCTTATTGATGCTTTAGGCAAAATTCAGCCAAAAGCAACTTCAAGGTTTAAAGGATGAGCTTGAAGTGGAGGCAACCTTTGCAAACTGGGATAATGCATTATTCATTTATCACTGAAGGGAATATTTTGCTCCATGTCTGTGGTTTTATTCTTTGTTGCCTTCACTGAAACCCAACTTTCCTCCTACAATACATATTGCTATTAAATGGTTTTTTCCCTGCCAATATAGTCAGCAGAAAAAATGTAACATTTTTTTCCCCCCTCCCTCTCTCTATCCTTCCTCTGTCCTGTCTTCTTTTGCTCCTGTGCGCTGCCTTCACTGTTAAATAAAACAGTTGAGGCTGAGAAAACATCTCCGGTGAGATGGAGGGTAGTTAGGAAAGAAAGGCAGGGGAAGAAGAAAAATGGTGCGAGATGTGAGATTCAGTTTACATCTGTAGACATAACTCTTACACACTAAAGGGACTAGTGAGAGATGTCAAAGTGTTGTCAGAGCTCCTGAGCTTCTCATAAAACAGCCAAAGATGGTGCGCACACACCCTCTCCACACACACACACACACACACACACACACAGATATCATATCATTTAGTGAAGGTTATTGCTGCCACAGGCAATGCTTTCTTCTGTTGCGTATCTATTCCCTGCATTGGGAGGATTGTGTGGAAGTTGATAATGGGAGGAACGGCAGCCTGCGTCATTCCCTCTTTCCATTGCTCACTTCCTCTTTTTTCATCTATTTTTCCCTCCATCACAACCTCTCAGCTCTGTCTTTCTTCCTGTCTCCTCTCCCTGCCCAGATCTCACTCTGTTTGACCTTCACGTCCATCAAAGTCCCACCAACTTAAATGACAAAAATGACATACACATGTCTCTCTCCCTGCATTTCTCACTCACTGTCACTTTTGCTCCTTCTCGTCTTTTCAGGAGGGCTTTAAGGGTTCTGTCATGTCAGTCTGCGGCTTGTTTGTTGAAGTGCGACTTCTTTTACGCCAGGGGCCAGGTTAGGGTCTGGGACAAATAACGGCCCCTGGTTGATTAGAGGGGGTCCCCTCAGCACAGCCCCTGTGATTATCACCCGCGGCTGTGTTCGTCTGTAAGGCCAGTTGTGTGTTTTGTGGTTGTTCAGGTTCACTCAGTTCAGCAGCATGAAAACGGCATGGCCAACCCCCACCCACCCCCTCACTCATCCAAAAGGTCATGGTGCTCGCTTTGATAAGTCCATTAGTCCATGTGGTGTTTCCAAACTCTCATACTGAACTGCCATCACCACTGGGGGGGAATATGTTTTTTTTTTTCTGTTTGTGTGCATGCTGCATGGGGATCCAGCTGGAGGGATCTTTGATGTGCCTGTATTTGAAGTCCAGTAATTTGTCCACAATCAGTAAATGGCCATGGATTGTCTAGTTTAATAATAGCATAAAGTACATCTGCAATATGTCAGGGCTGACACTGCATTGTAACGGCGCTGTAAGTTTTACAGCATCTGCTTCAAAGGATTATGAAGATCCCAGGATTAAAAGACTTATGATGCAGTAGTGAGCAGTTATTAGGTCTGCTGGCTGCTGCCAAAAACAGGGAGGAAAAGAGAGAGACCACAAGACCAGAGGAGAGAATAAGTCTCCAGCTGGCCACTGAACGCTGGGTCAGGCTACTCACAGAACATCATAAAAACATGACTGCCTGCCATTATTCTTCAAAGGCTATCTCTGCCAAGAGCTTTAATTGTTAATATGTTTTGCAGGGAAATGGATTTTAATTTTACTCTAATATTTGGTCTTTTTAAACTTCTGAGAGTAGGCAAAAAAAAGAAAAGAACAAAAGAGAACTGAAAACCAAGCAGCATTAAAGGAGTAAACCTCTCGCGGCATGCTTGCTTTTCTTTTTGTTTGTTGAGTGTGTGCTGGTTGTTTTATTTAACTGTGTGTTTGGCCTTCATCCATTTGTTTCTTGGTTTTTTCATCTCAAATCTTCTGTATGGGGTTGCATGTGAAGAACAAGCTGTGTTTTAATTCTTCATGCAGCTTTTATTTCTGCATGAGCAGCCTTGTGTCTGTGTTGTGTTTTTCGACATTAACACACATTTATTTGCAGTTACTTGATGTGGAAGATGCGAATCAGCACCACAGACACTTAAAAACCCCATGTGGTCCTATCTAAGCGGTATAGATCTGCGCGGGTGTGTGTGTGTGTGTGTGTGTGTGCGTGTGTGTGTGTGCGCTCACATTTTGAGAGGGGGCTGGTAGAAGAGAACAGGTGGATCTGGTCTCTGCAGTCCCTATCTCATCATGTTTTGTCATTAAACATGCAGCTGCCCACACACAAACACACACATTTAATTTTCGCCGGAGAAGCTTGTGCCTTATTGTCAGGCAGAAAGTCCTGTGTAATTAACCTACAAGACATCTGCACCAGCTCTCTCCATCTCCCTTTTCTGCTCTTGCTCTCTCCCATGTGATATATTTTAACTACAAATTCCTTTCATTATAGTACACTCAGTGAGTTTTCTCCTGACACAGAGCCACAATCAATAGTGTGTTAATTACCTTGTAGATCGACTCAGATATCCATCACTGCACACACACGTGCACAGGCCAGTCAGCTGTGGACAGGAGGCATCTCCAAATGTGTATAAAAAACAGTCAAATACGAGGCTGAAACTAGCAATTATTGTCATAATTGAATAATCTGTGTGATATTTTTTTCGGCAAACTGATTATGCACAATAAAATTTTTCAAACGGTGGTAGATCGGTACCAGAATTTCCCAAGATGGTTTCTTCAAACCGCTTATTTTGTCCAACCAGCAGTCCAGAACCTAAAGATGTTCAATTTAAAAAACAAAACACGTGAGAAGCTGTAACTGGTGGGAATAACATAAATAATGAATAGATGATCAAAAATATTAGTTGATTAGATGATCAACTAGTCAGATAAAGTCATGAATGGAAAGACTGGAAAGGCCTTTGCTGTAGGATGTAGTATAGAAGTTTTAGTTTTAGAAACTGATGTTGATTGACTTTTTCCCTGATTTGTTGTAGAAGTGTAGAATAACTGAGCAGAATGGAAACTTGTTATCATGAAGTGGAGTCGTGCATAGTGGACTGAAGTTTATGAGTGAGGGTGTGTTGTCAAAGGTGCTTATGTTTCTTTCTAGACTGGCACATTCACTATAAACCTGCCCTTCATTAGCCTATGCAAATACAAGTAACCTTCTTTTCTGGTTCAGCAGCTCGCCTCCTTCTCACGCACACAAATGAATGCCTGAGCCTTCGACTTCTTTTCGCCCTCATTTTCTGTGAGAAGAAACACAGATAATGCTGAACTGTCACAAACACCTTCATTAGTTTCCTCTTCAGTATAGTAAATAGTATATGAAGGCCCCGCAGGAGGACATCTTTGCTTTTGATGTTTTCCCACATCAAGGGTTGAACTTTTTGTGCCCTGTTTACTGCCTTCGTGCTTCCTCCTGTCAGGTTGTCCAGGTAACTGTTGACCATCCAACAACCTGCAGAAGAGACAGAGGAGGAGGAGAGAGAGGAGGGCAGCAATTTCTGTTAGACAGACAATAAAACAAGGACACATGGAGAGGCGGAGAGAAAAGATGGCAGAGGAGGTGTACAGATTGTGGAGTGATGGTGACGTGGAGACGTTGAGCTTAGAAAGGGACTGTACAGAGAGCAAGGGGAAAAAAAAAACAAATGATTGGCAGCTAAAAGAGTTAGCTTTAGTGTGGCACGTCCTCCCAGACAGACTGAGATCGAGTCTCAGAGGACATGCGGGGGCTTTATGAGCTTAATTAATATGACATTAATTTCTAAAAATGATCCCTGAACTGACAGGGGTGAGTCAGAGAAGACAGCTGAGGTGTGTGTGTGTGTGTGTGTGTGTGTGTGTGTGTGTGTGTGTGTGTGTGTGTGTGTGTGTGTGTGTGTGTGTGTGTGTGTGTGTGTGTGTGTGACAGAATTTATTTGTGTGATTTAATGTGCAAGCAGATATAAGTGGAATTGTCACTTGTTATTGAGGACACTGACCTATATTGGCTAAGGACAGCAACGCCTCCAGCAAAAAAAAACCACCAAGTGGTCACTTCTCTGATCTTAGCTTCCTTTACATCTCACTGTATCTACCGCAGCCTTAGAAAAGAAAACTGGAAGACAAAGAGGTTTAAGATCAGCCTGTGGAGAGGCGCTCTGGAAATGAGGAAGGCAGACATGGTTGGAGATATTACTTGCAGTCCTTCCGTATAGTCCATCTTGATTCAGTGTACAGGCCTTACAGCAGTTATTACTGGAGGTGTAAGAGACAGCAGTGATTTCCCATTACTGAGCAGAGACAGGCACTCTCACAAGCTTTGGCTTTTACTGATTAAAGGTATTCATTCTGTTTCAGGAAATGTGTGCTCTGTTGGATTTGTCTATTCACAACTGCTATTTATAAGTGTGGACTGAAGCTAAAAGTAGCCACAGTATGTCAGTCGTATTGTGTGTGTGTGTGGTTTTTTTTTTCGTTTGTTTTTTTTTATCCTCAGGGCGATGCCAGAGCTTTAGATTTAAAACTGGCTTCATATTGTTTCTGTCATCATTATCTCAACCTCTTTAAGGTTTCCCAGACTGCATTTCTTTTGAAACTACATTTCTCTTTATACACTCTTTCCTGCCCTCCTTTCTGTTATTTTCTCACACATGTGTTCATAGACACAGACAGATGACAAATCAAAAATAAATCCACAATGAATGCAACACAAGGTAAGCAGATGCCTCCACACAGGGTATGGAGGGTCACTGAAGAGCTTAATGAGTAGGAAAATGATATAAATCACATGCTAAGTTATCATATGAACACTTATTGACCACTGTGTGGAGTGTTCAGACCAGAAACGGCACAGGTGAGACGGCGAAATACTATCTGTCACCAAATTTGCAACTTGCAAGATGGAATTCGTAACAATATGTTCATGTCCTTCCACTTTAATAGTGACGAGTTTCTCTCATTAAAACGGACACTTTCTTGCGAGCCATACATGAGCACGTGAGAGTCCACGCATTTCTTTTTTCTCCTATTTCGCGAGCAACAGTCATTTGTGAAACGTTTAACTGAAACATCGCTGAGTTTAAAACACTGCAGAGCACTTTATACTATGAGACAGGATTTTACAACTCTGGAAAGCTATCAAGGGAGCAATTATTTTATCCTCTGTCTTGATGATCTCCAGGTAACAGTACAATCAGAGCTTTCTACCAAGATTGTGCTTGATTGGCCAACGCAGTGGGTTGCAAGTTGATGTTGTGTCACATTGCAGCATTGTTGCTGGACAAAACAGCATATTTGGGCGGGGGGGGGGGCTGCATTAATGCAGTTGTCTTACTTTAATTCACGTTTTTCCACACATTATTGTCGGTCTGAACATCAGGCCTCTCCACCACCATCATCAAAACACTGACTGAGGGAAGCTGTTCTGGCAGCTTGTGATGGTCAAACACCTAACTAATACACTTAATGCTGGGTTGTCCTTTAATTTGTCACCCATCTGTGTAATACGCCACACACACTTTTGTTCTTTTCTCAGCCTCAAGCCTCCTCTGCCGTGACATGTTGGCTGTGCTATGTTTGACTCAGTCCCAGACTGCAGCAGCAATCAGAGCCCTTTATGAAAATTAAACAAATGTGCACTCATGCATAGATATCATCCTGTACGAGCACACACTTGGTGCACACTTTTGCGGGAAAAGCACGCACGGACTCACACACAGACACAATACAATTGAAAAACAGGGTGTGCCCCCTGCTGTTAACACCATCTTGTGTTTGACACTGGCTTTATACATATGCTAATTCACCTCCATTTCACCGCCACTGTAATGGATGGGGTGAGACCAGCAATTAGAGACAAGACAGAAAAGAACAGGTGAGAGAGAAGCAGAGAGAAGAGTTGCGTATCTTATCTAGCCCACACAGCGACAGACCCATTCACTTTTCTACCAGACACCACACCTGCGTTTCATTCATAAATAAAACATTTAATCTACACCTGGATGAACTTCAGTAAAGGCAACATACAGTGGGGTCCAAAAGTCTGGGACCACTTTCCTTTTCAAGTGAATGGGAACACTGTATATTGCACACATAAAAAATGGAATAAAACCCAAATGAAGATGTTATGTTCCTCTTATAACTACATAGGCCAGACTAAGTTTTAGGTTGAGTGAATGTTTCATAAATAGCCACCATCACACACACAGTCATTGCCCCCCTGGGTTCTGTGTTTGTGTACCCAGTGTGCGAGGAGGGCAGCGTGCCCGACGCTGTTTTAATTGGCATGGCAGAGTGCCAAATGATGGATGGATGGCTGGGTGGAGAGAGACGGTCTCTCAGTGTCTGTCTCTCACTGTGTCTGTTTCTGAGTCGATGACAGCCATCTGCCAGTTCCACAGGCTATTCTCAGCGCTGGGTGTTTGCGTGCGCTCGTGTTGCTGTATAGTCACTGGTGTGCTTGCTCTGTTGCTTTCTGGTGTGTTTGCGCACACAAGCAACTACTGTATGCACACTGTAGAAACCGTGTCAACTTCGAAGGCTTTTGCCAACACGGATATTACAGGAAAACTTAGTGGAGCTGTGAAGACAACACTGACATATTTTAAATTGATATGGTGAACTTGTTAGTGAAGAGTTGTCTGCTTACACATCCAGCTATTGCGGAGCAACATTACTCTGAATTTGGAGTTGTGTTTCTGGTTTCTGTTTTGGGTCTCCACCAACTTTCGAAGGAAATATCTGTCTCTTTAGTTGCGAGTCACTTTTGTCTGTGTGCTGTTTGGCGCTGGGCAGGTAGCGTACAGTCGGGTTTTAGATGTCTGCTCAAGGCAGCTGCCTGCTGCAGGCGGAAATGACACTGGTGAGTAGAGCAGTGAAAGTAAACAAAAACATTAAATTTGCAGGCAAGTAAACCAAAACAATGAGCTGGAAGATGCTAGTTCAGTAGAGCTGAGGGTAACTTCAGAGTTAGGTGATACTTTTGTGTGGTTTCAGCACAACCTGATTAAGTGACACCCCTCATTACACATAGTTATTTGATCCATTGATATTCTATGGGTATTAATTATAGCGATTATAAGGCTACAACTATTTATTTTCTTTTTCAATCAACCTCTTGATCTTTGTTTGATGATTAATTGTTGAGTCTATAAAAAATCTAAAAGAAAAACTGTCATTGTTTACTTGATGAATAACTTAAACCATCTCTTGATTATAAAAATGATTGGCAATTTTTTTTTTTTTTTATCAATTAATCAACAAATGATTTCAGCTGTAGTGCTGTTCTTTGCACTGTGTTGCATCAGCCGCCCACTGGGGCATCCCTGAGAACACACAGCTGCCATCTCTGAAATCGAGGCCGTAGCCCCACGAGGCTTGCTCTTTTCCAGATGTTTGTTGTGTATTATCTGTTTGTCCATAAAAGCGAACACAGTGTTGTTTATCAGCTGCACACTGCCCGCTCTGTGGAGTCTAACCCCTCTTGTTTGCTTGTGTCTTCACAGCTCCTGGGCTTCGTGTACGCCTGTTATGTTGTCAGCGCTATCACTGAGGAGGAGGACAGCTGTGAGTCGCTCAACCTCACACGCACACACACACACACACACACACACACGCACAAAATAACTCCTGCAACGGAGCCTTGCAACAATGAATGAATCACACCCAGACCCACTCACACAGATGAGATAGAAAACACCCGAGTTGAGGAGAACAGGGCTACATCTTTCTTCATCTCCCTCTCCTCTCCTCTCCTCGTATCCCACCCCTCCCCACACCATCGTCGCTCCAGCCCCCCCCCCGCCTCTCCTCCCCCACGCCAGCTGGGCCCTCTCTCTCTCCCTCCAGAACCAAAGGAGCCATGTGTTCCCTCTCCAAACCTCCTTCGGCCCATTCTTTCCTTTCTCTTTCACGTGTACACTCGTCGCCTCATCTCTGCTCCTCAGCGGTCTGTGTGGTCCTCGCTGTTGTTGTGAACCCTGTTCCTCGCCTCCTTTAATGTACTCTGGCTTTCACTTTTCTCACTTTCTCCACTCTATGTGCCCCTTGTTTGTCGCTCCAGCTGTCTGTTTCCTGAGCAGGATGGGTGTTTTTATACTGCATTTGTGCACCTCCCCCACTCTCTTGTTCGTACACACACACCTTCCCGCCTCAAGCCTGTGTCTCTCGCAACTACTCAAACATCTACATCCTTTTTTTTTTTAAAGTGTTTCTTTACTGCGTTATCTCCGCTCCTGTCTGTATTGTTGTATGATGTGTGTTGTTGTGAGTCTAACTCTCACTATGGAGTCAGATGAGCTCAAGAGTTCACCTTGACGTGCATAAAAAAGGGCAGAGAGTGAGAAGGGGGGACCATTAAAATGAGTCATAAGAGAAGACAGAGAAACCAGAAACAGACAGTTGTGATAAATGACGCAGCTGCTGTGACCTCATAGGCAGCAGGTCAGAGGTCCTGCGGAGGGTTAGCCAATCAAGGGACAGGAAACATTTGATCTGAGGGTCAGTGGGAGTCATAAATATCTGATTAGCACTGCAGGACTGTGAGGATACATAGCCGTGTTCACAGGCATGAGAATCTGCCTTTACAAATATATTTATGCAATGCTTTGAAACCAGATGCAGAAAGGCGTAGGTGTCAGATAGCTGGATCTGTAATGGCAGAATAAACAAGCTCTCTCTGTGAGGATTAGCCAAGGAGTTTCTCAGGTACATATTCATACATATGTGCTTGTCAGAATGCTAATTATGAAGAATCCTGAGCTTGGCTGTAATTATGTCTCTCCCTGTTGTAGACAGATTTGATTTGAAAACAGCATAATGAACAAACTAAAAGCATCTTAAGACTCTTTGGGGGAAATCTGATGTGGGTTCTGTGTGTGTTCCTGTAGACCAGTGGTACACACGTCCAAGCTGTTCTTTGGTGGTCACATACCAGAGATTCACTGGCTGTAAGTAGTTAACATCACCATCCAACTGATTTCCCCTCCCAGCTCTGGGCAGCACCACTTAATCACCAGTCACCCTTAAGTAATCCCTGGAGGGTAATACCACTTCATCAGGAGTGAAGTGAAAAAAAAAAAGACTTTTGCCCTCAACATCTTTTCATTTTGTGTTTGGTGACCTGTGAGCTCCTTTCATTCCCAGTGTGGACAGTTCGCGCAGAGTGTGTTTGTTTAAAGTCGTAGCAGACAGTCTTTCGCGCTGAAATACAGAGATGAAAATAGCAAGCAAGCAATAAGGAAAGGTTGCTCAGGGTGAAAACAGAACATGGTGTGATTTTTATTGGTTTTAATTATCTTGTAGTTCTTCTCTGATCCCGACTGTGCTGGAGTAAAACGCAGCTACATCGCTTCCAACTGCTAGCTCTTTGTTATTGTAATCAGCCCTTAGCCTGCACACACACACACACACACACACACACACACACACACACACACACACACACACGCACACGCACAGACACTCACACATATTTGTTCATGAAGACACAGGTGCACAGACATGCACACTCTCGCACCAACACAAAACCCAGCCAAGGCACTTTGCCGCTCTCATTTTCTCTTCTCATTTGATGTGTAGATTAAAGCATTGAGCTCCCTGGCTGCATCAGCATATCTCCTCCTACACAGAACTTTTCCTTCTCTTCACTTCTCCCTTGTATGCTTTATGGTTTCTTCACAGGTAGATGGAACAGTCACGAATCAGAATCCAGTTCTAGTGTGTTTGAGAAGTCTTGGCTGTCCCCCTCTCTCTGTCTTTTCTCTTGTCTCTGCTTTTTGAGCTTTAATGAGGTGTGCTTGTAAAAAGTTAGAGGTCTCTGGTCACTCATTGTATCAGCCTCATTAAGCGCCTTGCTGGTCAATAACTTCACAGTTGATTGCGCCTCACCGAGACAAGGAAGGTAGGAAGAATCCTCAGAGACAGAAAGAGAAAGGGAAAGACAGAAAGAGGAGTACGTGAGGGGAGCTGAGGGAGGTGTTTGTCAGGAGCAAGCCAGGGAGGGGAGAAGGAGACGGGGCAATATGCAGGAACAAACAACACGAGACAAGATGAGCTTTTCACGAATAAGGAGATGAGACAGGAATTCTTCACACGACGAGCACTCCCCCACTCTCCATGGAAAGGGGTGAGTTAAATTTGAGTGCTCAGGCTTGCGTAAAGAATAGCGGAATGAAACACGCGCACACGTCCACACGCACTCGCAAGAAGCCAAGAAGACACAATGGGCAGAATAACAAGCATCATACACCATCAGCTCAGGGTTTGACATGGCTTTCAGGCTTCATTACTGATACTGTGTGTGTGTGTGTGTGTGTGTGTGTGTGTGTGCGTGTGTGCGTGTGCGTGTGCGTGTGCGCGCGCGCAAATGCGTGCGTGTGTGTATGTATGACAGAGAGAGAGATCTTCCTTTTTGATGTGACTTCCTTTCTTCATAAGTGCATGTGTCTGTGTATGTGCACTCACACGGATCTATATGCTGAGTGTGTGTGTGTGAGACTGTGTGTGACTGTTTGAGTGTAGGTGTTTATGTGTATGAATTTGTTACACAGAGTTATCGGTGGTGAGCAGACACACCGGCAGAGTGAGTGGTGGGGAAAATCCTCTTTGTAAAGTAGGTCATGGAGTTAGCCGCCTAGCGCTGGGATAAGCTCGCTTTAGCATGTCTGCTAATTATGCTGCCGCCCTGTGTGCTGAGTCACATCCCCAGAAAATCCTCCACGGCAGACAGAGCAACTGGAGGGATGGATGAATGTGCAAGCGGAGTGTATGAGGGAAAAGGTCAGAACATCAAAAAAGCCTCATTCTGTTGTTATCACCTCAAAGTGTTATTGAAAATGACGTCAAACAAGAAGAACAAAGATTGTTAATAGACCTTTTTCAACCGAGGACTTAATAATATGTGACAGTCGGAAAAACACAGATATCAAAAACAAAAGTAATGACGGCTGAATTCCATTTATTTGCTTCGGTTTCAGGGTCGGGGTGTAATTATTCATATTGTAACACCTGTGCTTTTCTTGCTATGACCAGTCAAAATGTCTTCTGTGCAAAAGGCCTGCGTTCAAACAACATTTGTGATCATACTGCAAAAAATGTGCACATGAAAGTAGTTGTTTTGTGTATTATTTACTCTTAAATAATTCTAATAAGATGTACAGTCATGTGTACAACTTCTAGGAACTACAAGTGAAGTGCGGATGCTTTCCGATATGATGCCATGAATAATTTTTATTGATCAATTAACTTCATACAGAGTGGAGTAGACAGAAGAAAACTTCAAATCAAATCAATATTAGATGTGACGACTTTTGCCTTTCAAACAGCATCAATTCTCCTAGGTACACTTCACGGTTGTATGGCTGTAAGTTTGGGGAGGTTGTCGCGCTGCAGAATGGATCTGGGTCCGATAAGACGCCTCCCTGCTGGTATTGCGTGATGGATAAGAATCTAAACATCTAAATACATGTAGCATCTAAAATATCTAAATCTTTTGTATGATACTGTAAATGTAGAATATGACATTTTTGCCGTGTGGAAAAAAATGTCAGAATCTTCCCAGCTCATAAAGCTCACAATGATAATTTCACTTATGCTGCCTGATTCAAGCTCTTCTCAGGACTGTGTGGGTGTGTACAGGCCTGATTGACCTTGTTGCATCCGTAAGGGCAGGACAGTCTACGCCCCTATCATTGTTGTTAGAAAATAAGGACATGGCGATCACCATATGTAAAGTCAATGTGCATACAGTAGTTTTTACTAAATCACATAATCAGCAGGACTATCATTGTTGCATCACAGTATTTGCATATTAGACTATATTTAACCAATATGCACGGTCTTGTTTTCATTATCTTGTCCAATTAATTTAGTGATTTCCTCCTTTTTGTTACTCATTTACAGTTGCTGTAGCCCTGTTTTATAATCATGAACAGACTCAGACAGTAAACACATTTCAAGCACTGTTTCACCATTGTATAAATTCAGTTGTATAGATAATGGACATTATGACTGGGTCAGTGTATGTATCAACATATGACTGGCAGAAGAATAAAGGCGGTGCTGGACATTGGATGACAAATAGGAGATTGGCAGTTGCAGCGACACATATTGAGGGTTTAACACAGACATCCAGTTTGTAATAGGTCACAAAGAAATAAACACAGGAGCAATATTTTCTGTATTTGTCACATTAAGGTCATCACTTGTTCATTTTCATTTGAGCATCATCAAACAGGCAAACTTTGCAGAGGCTCTCCTGTTCTATCTTTGCGTAGAACCTTTCTCCTCTCTGCATGGATGATTAACTTTAAATACACTCAATCAAACATACCTGCAATTTTCATATGCAAAATAACTAAGCATAAAACCACTAAACCAGTCTTAAAAGTAAATGAGTAGCCTGTATAGCAATCATGGCTGTGTAATGGTGTGTGAGGACAGAGGTTCAGTATTGCAGTATGGAGCTTGCTCAAAAAACAGTGTGTGCGAGGCAAAGAGAGATTGAGACACAGACCACAACTGTGTCTTATATCTCATCTTTTCTAGATTGTTGCAGATAGGTTCTGAAGTCTTGAGCTATCTGTCTGCCCTTTATCTCTATATCGCTGTCTTTGTCTCTGCCCTGTCTCTCCTTGAATTTCTTAATCTTCCTCATACTCCACTCTTTTATTCTCACCAACCCTGTTTTTCCCTCCTGGTCTTTTTCCCTTTATCTCTGTGCCTGTGTTTCATTTCAGTGTCAGCTCGCCAACTCCTCACACACAAATATAAATACACACACACACACACACACACACACACACACACACACACACACACAGGGTGCGATGCTGCAGTATACGGTAGACTGACTGCCAGTGTCTCTCCTGGTTCAGTACATGTCCTCTGATTTCAGCCAGTTTCCACTTAAACTGAAACATAATCGTCTTATATTATTCCTTGCTTGTTGAGGGGCACCACATAGATGCCTTAACTGTTGACCTACATACCTTTCATTTCTTGCATGTGTCCACACAAGTGAAAACCATCTCCCTCTGCCTGGGAGTAACCAAGCTCTTTCATTATTGGAGGATCAAATGCACTGATCAACTGCCAATATCTGTTTCCAAGGTCACGATCTGCACTAGAGAGGACAAATTAAACTCTCAGTTTCATACTGAAAGAATGCCATCCTCCCTGGTGTTTGCAGATCAAATCTGCCATCTACATGTTAAAACATTAGAATTGTGTTTAATGGAGTTATTTGGAAGTTTAACCCAACAGCTGTTTACTTACCAGACTTGCCAAGAGCTTCAGCCATCATTGCATTTATAAGACCACAAGTTAAAATACATCCTTTGAGAAGCACTACTTCTTCAGGGCAGACTGGATGGTACAGTGACTTGGTAATCGGAAAAGTGACAGGCCGACCAGGCTGGGGGAGAGCTGGTTAGCATGCTAACATCAGTAGAAGAAAAGAAATGATAGAAACAGAGTGGGTTGCAAAAAGTTACAAATAGCTCCTTTTAAAGCATCTCTTGAGAATGAACAGGCCACTTGAGATTGCAGCTTTCCACCATATCACATTCATTTTCAAAGTGATTGTATGTTAGCTCTGTTTTTACTGTTGTAAACACTGATTTCTCAACCATCAGTGTTTGGTGAGCTATACAGAGGCTTCAGTTCAAGGTCGTGGTCAGATAAATGTGTGTAATAATTATTTGAAAAAAGGTTCAAGCAATTAACTGGCTGGCATACACTATACAGTATGTAGAAGAGATGGAGATCAGAGTTAAAAATGAATTTTAATAAGGTTCTAACCAGGATATCTTCGTTAGAGTAGGAATGGTTAGTGGCTATTAGAGGCACCTGTTGAGGCACAGGTTCTGAGCTTTGAGACAATGTATATCCAGAGACTTTCCTTTCCTATGTATGTAGCACAGCAGGAATTTTCCACTTGTTTTGGAGGTATCCTGTCATAAAACGAAGCCTTGCAAAGGTGGAAAATTTGACCTGTTTGCGGTTCTAGATGAAAAGTCAGGTGATCACCAAAGTCATTAGGATTCATCCTCTGGAGACCCTGAATATCTCTGTCAAATTTCACAACAATGCATCCAACAGTAGCCGTGATTTTTCACTCCGAACTGACAGATGGGCCGACCGACATTCCCATCCCCAGAGCTGCTAGTGTGTCTAAAAATGGCAACCATCGTTATGATCTAACTGTATTCCTCAGCACAGTTTATCATGGCAGGGGTTGGATCCCCACCTGCTTATAATGAGAAAATCACTGGTACATAAAAGAGTAAGTAAAAGGTTTTTTGTGTGTGTGTGTGTGTGTGTGTGTGTGTGTGTGTGGGTGGTACAGATGAAATGGAGAAACCTTGGAAACCAGGGCAGGGTCACAGTAAAGGGACAGTTCCCCCACCACAGCACCCTGTGGCTCTCTGCATTCATCCTGCCCACCTATCAGTATTCAGCAGACCACCCCTGCCTCCTCTTATCAGGATGGAACTGATTTGGCCTTACAGTAGTTTCCATGGCTGGCTTGTGTTTGTTTTTCTCCCCACAGTTGTTGGTTCCCAGAAAGTAACAGATCTGCCCTTTTTTTTTTTTTTTTTTTTTTTTGTTTCCTCTGTAACTAGGATCCACTGTTTGCTTAGTGTCTATTTCCACTGCATCAGGCTCAATCTCCATTTCTCCTTTTCCTCCCCTCGTGGTGTTTACAGTAGTTTCAGAGCCTGTGGACATGCTGGCCTCTTTCACATGCACGCCTTCCACCTAATCTCTTTGGCCCCCTGTCAGTCAGACCGACAAGCGTGACGCGCACCGTTTTCCCCTTCTCCCCCCTCCCCTCTCTCCCACTCAACCTTTGTGTCCCCTCAAGAGCCGCAAGCATTTTCCTTCATCTCAAAAATCTCTCTCTGCATCTGTGAAAAATGCACTGCACTTTGGTACCGGCTTGTCACTCTCTCTTCCTCGCATGGCGTAACACTCGTTTGCTCATCTGCCCCTCGCCTAGAGTCTGAACTCTTAAGTGAGAAAATAAACAGAAAAGGTTGAGCATTCGGTCGGTGGCTGAAGGTCACCTCTGTTTCGGAGCGATAAAAAGGCTTAGGCTATTTTGACAGCTGGCCAGCTTTCACCTGTTCCCGAGCTTTCCCTCTGGCTCTAGGCAGATGCACAGATGAAAAAAAAGTTTTAGCAGAGTTTTTTTTTTTTTGAGGACTTTTATTTGTCAGTTAAAACGAAAAAACTTAAAGCGTGAAGTGTTCGTGCCAGGATGACTACCTTTCAACATCTCTGTATTATTACTGTTCCCACTGTGTCTTTTGTTTCCATTTCATTCCTCATTCATCTTGTGTTGTTCTTGTTTTTTGATCATGCATGTCTTTTTTGTTAAGTGTCATATTCTGTTACTGTCTGTCTTTTGATTTACTCCATAATTTATGTTTTTAATTTTCAGTTGATTTTATTGGTGGATTTGACCCATTCCCACTCTACCATGTCAATGAGAAACCATCTCATCTCCTCTTAAAGCCCATGTACCTGTAAGTATGACTGTGCTATCATCCCATTATGTGTGTATATATATATCCCCGTGTGTTATAAATGTGACTGTAATAACAGGTGTATGTGAATATACACATTACCATCACCACGTTGCCTTTTGTGCCTTTTTGTGGATGTAGTTGCTTATTTACTTATTTATTGCCTACATGTAGTTGTTTCTTTTTCAAGGTCACATTCCCAGATTTTCCCTGAAACTATTCATTAATCAAAACAAGAATTATTTTTCTGAGTTTACAAAATAACCTCAACTCAAGGTCCACCTACTCGTTTGTTCCAGAGCTTTTTATTACTCCATCAGGACCCAGTAGGTTAGAACACAACACCGACTAGGAGAGGTTGTGCAGACAGTTTCTTGCTCAGTATCTGGAGATTCATGTCATGTCTGGGGAGTAACATGTTCTTTGAAACATGCTACATCCTGTCAGAGGGCTTTGGGGAAAATAAAGGCCTTTCTTGTTGTGTGTATGTGTGTACGTGTGTTTGTGTGCGTGTGTGTGCTCATGCACACAGGCAGTTACTGATTGGAGCATATGAAGAAGAACATACAAAAATCTGTCTAAAATTGGATTAATCAATTAAGTTGTGCAGAGAATTTAATAACAATAAGCCTGGGAAGTCATGTAATAAGTCTCTGCCAACATGAAATGAATATTTTATTAGCTTCTTGACAGCTTAATCAGCTCCGTCTCTAATGGGAGGGAGGAAGTTTTCGTCTCCCAAATCTACTGGGAGTTATATCCTGGATAAATTCATCCAGGGAAGTGTGTCTGGGTGTGTATGTGAGTGCGTGCTTGTGTGTGTGTGTGTATAAATGTGTTTGTGTCTGAGCTGGCCAACAACTTCTAACCCTCCGTTCTTCCTTCCCACGTTTCTGTCCTTTACAGGTCTACGTAAATAGGAGAGCGTCCAGCAGGGAGGTGACACAGCAAATTCCCACGGAGACAAACATCCCAGTGCACTGGGGACACGCCAGACATTCCTCCCCCCTTTTTGATTTCAGTGCTTTAAACATGTCATTTACTGGTATGCTGCCCAGAAAAGCCAACACTTCTCAGTTAGGGTCCATTGTTTTCCAGGGAGGGATGACGGGTTCTGGGAACGGGGGGATTACAGTGCAACAAAGCCTCATATTGTGTATTTAGGGAAGTATCAATCATTTTCTTTGTGTTGAGTTCTCTGCTGAGGTCCCATCGCTGTGACCTGCCCATAATGGTCTAATACTTCCCAAGAACATGACTGTATAGAACATGTACAGCATATAAATACATTGTGTATGTAGTCAGGGACTGCCCAGCATTCCCAGTCTGCGGTACTGTGTCTTAGAGGACTCAGTGATTTAGCATGTTATTGCCGGTTTGGCTCAGATCTTGGCTGGAGGGCTGAATTACAGTGGAGCCTGTGGAATGAGCTATTGTGTGCAGCCTGTTTACTTTAGGCCAGGATCTGTGTGCATAAATACACAAAGTAAAGCAGGAAGAGGCAGGGGAGTGGAGAGGTACAGGGAGGGGAGGGAACAAAAGCACCAAACCTACAGGGGCATCTGTCAAAAATAGAAAATGTAAATAATGAAACGAGCCGGGGGGTGGGGGGGTGGGGATGGAGGGGGTTGACATGTGGTTGAGAGTTATGGTTGAAAGTTTGACGTGAAAACTATCAAGAATGCAAAAGAGCGTTAGCGTGTAAGAGGCGTTCAAACGCAGGGAATGGCATGCGAGTCTTACTTTTATTTCCAGAGTCTTATTATTGTGACTATTTTCACCAACAGCCTCGTCAGTAATTCTGAAGTGTCAGGTGTTTGTGTCAGACGCTGTGTTGAAAGCTTTGTTTTCACCTCAGTTTTTCTCCTCTAACTACTGACACATCAGGCTGCTGGCAGGGGGGGGGGGGTCATTACACACACTCGAGTAAAGGTTACACAGCATATATTTAACTTCGAGAAAACAATAGAAATTGTTTTACGATTCATATTGCACACAACAGTGTTGAGTCTTATGGGTATGGTCTTCTGTGTAGAAGTAGCATGGCTATACGTGAGTGGATCAGAGCATTGTCTCTTGTCACTTCAACAGTTTAGATTCTCATTGGTGATAGTCTCAGTTGTGATTGTTTTATAGCATGTTTTTTACAGGGTTTGTATTGTAATTATGTGTAAAGCATATTAAGTAATGACAAAATAGCGAAACTGATGTCTTCACAGTGTATGAGCTGGATAAACTGGGTAGTTTCTTAATCATATTTCTTTTATTCTGACCCAGTATCATTATAACTTGATTTAGGCAAAAGTGCACACACCTGGGTCGTATCTCCCAAACTGAGTGGTAGCACTTTTTTTTTTTTTTTTTGCGCTTAATGTTTAATCTATCAGGACAAAAGTCAGCTAAAGTCAGATCCCCTGTTGCCTCACTGATTGTGTGTATCACTACTGCCCTCTGGTGTTCAGAGTGTTCATGTACAAGTTGCGAGGCTGCTGAGTCTCTGCCACACGCCCGCTCTTCCACAAATCTCCATTTTTTTTTTTAACTCAAACTCATTTTTTGTTAGCGGATAACAGTGAATCTTAAAATAGCATGTTGATACTGAATAAGAATTGTCATGTGAGAGGAGTCAGCAAGTTGCCCTGGTTGTTTCATTGTTACATTCAGTCCTCTGTCTTTGTCATTTCGGTTAAGATCTTTTCTTAGCCACTGAATTTGAATACAGAATATTTTCAGTACATCATTTGTTTGATTGCAGTAATTCTTGGTGCAAATTCTTGAAATTGACAGCATAGCTATTTTTTTCCTAGAATCAAAAAAAAAGTTGAACAAACAAGTTGCTTTCTGTTCATTTTGTTTTTCAGTCCATTTAGTCTATTGTTAGCACCTGAAAACATCCTGCTGGGCCTCAGATTTCTGTGATATTAGATGTACTGTCACTGCCAGATAGACAGTCTACAAACTGTTATGATTCTGAACTAATCTCTTGACTAATTTCAGAATAATGTGAGTGATCTATTTTGATGTGATTGGTCTCTCTATTGGAAAGATGCAATAATAATTTATAAGTCATTATTGTCTTTATAATTTAAAGTTTACACACTCCTGGTATGCTAACTGGTGTGTGGATTAGTAAAAACACAGAGCACCTCATATTGTAACATAATCAGTATTAGTAGTAAGATACTACTAAAATCATTATGTAAAAACGAGTCTTCCTCTCAGTGCAATACAGCCTCTTCCTAAAACCCAGTGACTGGAATTAGTTAAAACCTGTTATGGTTGTCTATGTGTGTTAGTCTCCACTGAAAAAAAGATTCCACCTCTTTGTAGATAATTCTGTTTCTTTGCATAGAAAGTGGAAAAAGATTTTTTTGTATTTCTCTCTTCTATTTTGTGTCCTGTGTTGCCCCGTCCCCATGTGACCTTGATTGTGTAATCCTATTTATCCAGAACTGTGCTTTGTGTTCATGTAAATAGGTGTTTGTTAATAAAAGAATGTGCTCTTTTAATGATCTGGTGTGTCATTTATTTAGTAGACATTTTGTTTGTGTGAAAATTAAAAAATGAAAAAACAAAAACAGCTTAAAATGTTTATTGTAGAAAATAATCTGTTAACCTCCGACAAAACAAGCAGCACTCTTGATTTTTATCAGTACAAAGGCGAAAATGAGTACAGAGCAAAACTCAAGGCCAATCATGTAACACCTGTATAGCAGCAGCTTCTCACTACAGATTTAGGACATGAAAGCACGAACACTGCCTCTGATGACAGCTCTGCAGATGGGGCAGTGACGCAGGCTGGCAGCACAATCACCACACACCACCAGATGACCACAGGGGATGAAGACGATGGACACCAGCTTGTCCATGCACACCTTACAGGTCCTCTCCTCCTGCAGCTGCCTCAGCAGCTCCTCTGGACTGGGGTCCTTCACTGTTTGACAAACCACACAGAGAAAAAAAAACACATGAACACATACATGGCCAGAGTATATGTACAAGCTGACTGTTGTGTTTGAAGCCTGAATGCTGCAGGATAGAGCAATCATATGACAGCGGTTCAATGCTGTAATTGATTATGAAAAGCATTACAAGCACAACAGTAGCTGTTTTTCCTGCTAGTCATGGAGATGTTGACCTCTGACCTTTCTCTCTGACGGGTGTTTGTGTCCTCACGTTTCCAGCACTGGAGCCCTGCCTCGTCTCTGTATCTGAAGCACACAAGCATGGAAAAAGACAGTCAACACACATTATGAACTCAAACATCCATTGTGACATATCAACATGCAAACAAATGGAAGTTACACTCCTTACGTAAAATTATGTTTTAGATTGTCAGAAAACGACAGATGATACTTGAAAAGTATCAAAAGTACTGGTTCTACGAAAGAAATGGACCTTGACTGGCATTTTGTGATTCATTACATAATAGATGGAGCTAGTTTTCACCACTTGATAGAGATAGGTGGTTAAGTCCAGTGGTTCCCAGTTGAGGGGTAGAGCCTCCTCTGATGGGTCACAACATAAATCTGAGGGGTAATGAGATGATTAATGGGGAAAGCAGAAGAATAAACAAAGTTCTGCTTCAAAACCTTTCTCTAATCTGTTCCTCGCTGCACCTCCAACAGTGATTAGAATGAAATTTAAGAAATTTAGAGGGTACATGTTTGAGAATCTGAAATGTGACAAGGGGCTCCAACTAGACATGTATTTTATAGGCTTACTATATGTAAAATATTAATCTGAAAAGTAACCAGTAACTATAACTATAACTGTAGAGGCAAAAAGTATCAGGAAATTGAAATGCTCAAGTAAAGTACAAGTACCTTACAACTGTACTTAAATACAGTACTTAAGTAAAAAAATAAAAAACTTTGTTAACTTTCCACCGTTGGCTGTTACCTCTGCTCTGCGGGCCCCTCCGTCTGTCCTCCTCCTCTGCCTGCAGTACATCAGTGACCAGGTCAGATACAGAAGTGTAGTGCTGGCCTGTCAAAAGATACTTGGTCTGGACCAGACTCTCCACCAGGTTGGCCTCAAAGCCCATCTGAAGCACAGTCTGCACCACAGGAGAAAGCATGGCCGAGGAAGCGCCCAGACCTCCGACCACATCTGGGAGATGAGAGGAAGGGTGAGGTGAGGAAGACTAGTGACCAGCCACTGGACATTTGGTTCAATTTAGCACCACATACTATACAATCTACTAGATAAGTGGGAAAATAAATGACAAATTGTGCAGCTTGCCTTTATCTGCCGATACATTAACATTTCAAACCCCGGACCTCTTCTGTATACTTGCTGAAATGGATTCTAATTGTGATGCCTTCATTGTATGGAATAATTGCCTTCTCATGACTACCCTGCAACCATGAGCAACAGTCAAATGGTTTCCATAGCGCTCCCTAATTACTGCAACCCGAGAGCAAACATTAGCTCAGGTAATTGAACATCCAGTTATTTCATTTTCAGCAGCCTTGCAAAAAAAAGTAATGAACCTACTGAGTGTGTTCAGAGTCTCATTTGGGGTTTTAAGTAGCGCTTGTGTGCCATGTCTGCTTTTATACTTCAAATCCATGTTTCTACCAAGGTGGAACTCCCAGGATGATCTAAGAATAATTCAATCAACCGGATGCAGCCTTTCTTTTCTCCATTTCCACCACCTGCAGTGCAACTCAAAATGTTTGCTCTACCTTTCCCCTTTTGTGTGAACAAGCAGGAGTGGATGTTGACACTTTGATGATTTGCATCAAAGCAGAAGGCTGCTATCTTTTTTATCCCGATCTACACAGTAGACATGAAGGGGTTTTTTTATGTGTTTGGTACATATCCTTCATTCTCTGCCTTTTTAGAATTTTATATGACTTACCATTTCTGGAGCTGATATCTCTGCCTGTGGAGGTCTGTGAGCCACCCTTCAAAAGTAATCATATTTCAAATTCACAATGAAAGTCATGAATGATTTAAATTCAGGAATGGCAAACTGTCATTTATTAATGCGGAATTATTCTTATGTCTGCAGTATGACAAATAGGTTTTATCCAGATAAGAGGGGTAAAGGTTCTCACCACAGTCTCACCCAGATGGAAATGAGTATCTTGTATGTTGCTGATGTACTCCTGCCCTCTCGATTGGATTAAAAACTCACACCTGAGAAATACAAACATGCTATTTTATAATTTAATAATGCATGAATGCAGAAGTTTCACTTGCGAGTGCAAAACAAAATAAATAAATAAATAAAATAGACAAATTATGCGTTCAACAGTTGTCTTTGTATGTGCCAGTGACAGGTCCTGCTGTTACCGTGGAAACCACTTGGCATGTTCCTGCCACGGGTCGTCTCCTGGTTCCCAGTTTCTCAGCCCTCCATCACAGTAGAAGCATTTGACATTGTCGCCGTGACCTGTCAGGATGAACGAGATCACTGAGAGAAGAAGCTAATGACGCGGCTGGACAAAGAAAAGATCCTTACACTCCATTTCTGTCCTTAATCATCAAAAAACATAAACAAAACTTGTCTATATTTCTGATTTTACAAGGACTCAATCTCATACA